CAGATAGGTGATTATGCTTGTGTAGTTAATTAATAAAATAGGAAGCAGGTATTGGGTTCACTGGGGAAACTTTTGCATCACGGTATCTGTTATGAAGGATCCCATGCTGTAGGGACAATAACGGGGTGCTAATTCTGAACGCACACAGTGCCGTCCTACAAAGACATCAAGATTTGTAGGAAATCAACCCTCCAGCAGTCCTGGCAAGCCAGACTGACCCCAGCAAATGAAAATAATCAAAAGTAATTAGAAGCGTGCTGGACTACTCCTCGGAGAACCAAGCGGGAGAGTAAACATGCCTGAATCCTCGAGCCACTGCAAAGGCCCATGTCTGAGCTGTTAGGTGCCCTGACCTTGTCCACATAAAGATGTGATTTATGAAGTGCAGGGCACAGCAGCAGGGCTTCTGTCTTCTCCTGGAGAACCAAATTACTGAGGTGGAGATTAACATGCTTTCAGTAGGGCCCATTTCCAGACCAAGGGAAATTTTTTATTTACATTTTTTTTTTACCTTTAATTTCCTTTTTTCTTTTTTTTTTCCCCAACAGTTTCCTCCCCCACACCCGTAGATTAAAAAAAAAAAAAAGTCCATCAAGAGAGACCAGAAATATCTTTCCTGAGCAGTGATGATATATGTTGGTGACTATAGACATTCAGGGCCCTTTTTGTTTGTAAATTTATTGTGCTTGACTGTTTTGTTGGGGTCTACCTACCCAGCACCACAGAATTCACCTTCAGATTTAGGGAGCCCATCTTGTGAAATACCCCCCTGATTAAAACATATAAACTAAAATTAAAACACTACCTTTGATTCCATGGCTTTCTGATCTAGTTTCTCTTGCTAGATGTTATGCTTCATTACAAGGCTTACTCTTTAAGTAAAAGGATTTGGGAGAAGAACTTGTAGGTGGTCAAGAATTTGGAGGGAAAGAAAGAGGAGAGACAAATTGGAGTTTCTGTATAGGGAAAAATATTTATATGAGAATCAGTGGGGAGTCTCTTGAATCCTAAAGACATATATAATTTTTCTCATCTTTGTCTCGGTTAAGTTAAATTTTACAAAATCCTATTCTGATGTGGAAAAGGAAGCATCGATTTACTTTTTAAACACACATCAATATCTATACATGAAGCTAATTTAATTAACAGGCAGTTATTGTTTGGCCAAATGTCAATTTCTCAGATTATTTCATGCTTCTTGATGTGAACTGTATGAAACAAGATTTAACAGGATCTCCATGAATGAAACTGCACTTGAGAAATGTAAAAATGCACTTGTACATTCTTGAAAAGCTACAAAAAAAAAAAAAGTGTTAAAACAAAAATGTCAGCCTTGAACTTCAGTGTATATTTAGCCACCTCAAGAAACCAAGAGCTGCGGAATTAAGGGAACTCTACTTAGGCTGAGGTTATAAAGTGCCTTCCTCTATAAACTAAAAACATAATGTCAGGGTGAATGGGAACATACTTTATTAACTTTATGGTATTGAAAACTGCCAGCAAGTTGTCTTGTTTTTAAATATTGTCCTCTGCAGAGTGTTACAGGGCTGTTTGTCCACAGGAAGCCTATTAAAAGTGGACAGTGCAGTCATTTCATCTGGCTTTGGCTGGACTGCTTTTCTTTCCTTTAATGATGTGCTGGAATGTACCATGCCCATAGGGTCTCCATTAGCAGAACTTTTACTTCTGGGACAACCATGAAGTTTAAGGCTTAAAAGAGGCATCAGCTTACAGTCTTGTGGGAATCACTTGAATACTGGAGCACTAACTTCTTACTGCTTTAACTAATATATTGACTTATTTTAAATAAACAGTTACACAATGAAGGCAGAGCCAGTGGCCTTATTGGAAATCTTTGAGCCTTTTAAAGATTCTGCAATCCACGCAGATGAGGGAGGAAGGAAGGGGCCTGAGGAGGGTTTATGCCCTTTTCAAACCAGGAAGAAAACACATTAACCTCTCCCACCTCAGCCCTGCCATCAGCCAACGGGGGATCTTTACAGCTCCCAGAAAATCTATCAACTCACACTCGAACCTCATATTTTCCAGTGCCTTTTTCCTGGTAAACAACAATTAACAGAATGAGACAGAGAAAACAATATTTTAACTCCTTCTGGAAAAAATGTTTTAAAAGTATGGATTCTCTTTTTAAACATTGAGGATGAATCACTCTCTTTTCTGCTTTCCCCAGAGCTATACATTTGTTGTAGTATGTTCTTCCATTCCATTCCCTTTAATATTTAGATCATTTGTCCTGATACATGTTTGCAAATTAAAGTTGGTTTGAGATTATAGTAAAACCATTATTTTTAATAGCCCATTTCAAGGGCAGCGCTAAACACTGCAGAACACGCATGTTACTGATTACTGCTGAGCAGACAGCGGCTTTTGCAGATTAATTTGTAACTGGGAACTACTGTAAACAGATTTCACCAGAAATCCCAAGAAATAAAGGGAATTGGTGGTGGTATTTGGTTCCTTGTATTTGTTTATTGTTTTAGAAACCTCCTGATGGAAAGCAAGTTAGCCAGGGAGAAAAAAACAAGGCCCCCCCCCCCTTTTCCTCCAGCCCTCTGTCTGTTCCACTTCTGATGGGAGGAGGTGGGTTAGGGTCTTCTCCTAAGGAGCAAGAGGCTCCTTCCATGAGAGGCCCATCTCACTACCCGGGGATTTCAGGACCTTACTTTTAAATTTCCAGCTGTGTCGTCGGGGAAAAAAGTAGGGTGACTCTGTCTTTACACGAAGTTATTATATAATCAAACAAGAGAGGGGGCGTGGTGGGAGAGAGCGGGGGGGGGAGGAAGGGTGGGGTGGGGGGCTGGAGAGCGGGAGCGAGGGGAAGAGATTAATATTTGGTGTTTGCCCGGGTCCTTCTGATGATTTCCTTTAGTCTTTCTCACAAGTTATTCAGTAGAGAGCAAGACTGATGATGATGATATTAATTAATAATAATGAGGCTAAATAATTCCCCATCTCTCTAGATAAATCTTCCAAGGTTTCAGAGAGAAGGCGTTAACTCTTTTGGCCCTGTTTGGAGAAGAGAATGTCCTACGTAGAACTAGTCTTAGCTCAGGGGGTGTCCGGGTTGTCTGGACTGCGGGGTGCACTCGTCTAGGAGCTCGGGAAACGCGGGCCGGCCCACGCGCTAAGCGCAGGGCAAAGCCCAAGGCCCGCGGCCGGCGGGCGGCAGCCGGTTCACCTGGACGGTTGAAGCCGAAGCCGAAGCCGCAGCCGAAGCCGCAGCCGCAGCCGCAGCCGCAGCGCCTTAATTCGGGGCGCAACGCCATCTACCGGCCTCCTGCCGCATCTGCAAGTACCCGGACCTTGAAAGTCGCCCCGCCTCCCCCACCCGAACCCAGTATAAGGGAAAAAAAACTCGGAGGCCCTTTCCACGAAATCCTAATTTAGCCAGGACCTGCCACTGATTCTGCCCGACCTTTTGTTTATCCACCGACGTTTCCTCCTTTTCAGAGCCGCTTTGTAAAGGGCAAGGAGGCGGGGGCCGCGGGGCTGGGGCGGGGGATTGGGGCGCTGAGCTCTCAGACCCCCTGATCAGGCCGCACTGTCTGAAGCAATCGGTTCCCCAGATTACTTGTATTTAATACACAATGCATCATAAAACAAATCCCTCATCCTGACAGGAAGAAAATAGAACAGCTCATAGCTCGAGCCGGTCCAATTTATGGCTAAATTAAAAAAAAAAAAAGGGCTCCGACAATGGGCAAGTTGAGGAAGGGCAGGAAATCAATGGCAGCAAACCGGGGCCTCTTAAAGGTTCTCAAGCGCCGAACTCTATGGGAATATCTGACCGGGTTTTAGGTTATTTACAAAGGATTTTTCCTGTCCTACCTACCACTGCTGTGCGATTTTCCCTCAAACAATGGCCATTATCTGAAATAACAGTTCAATGTCACAGATAACAGGCCACCGAAACGAATTAGTCACCACCTCTTGTCATTTTCTCTCCCCCACATCCCTCCCTTTTGTTACTATTTTTGTTTTTAAATCAGCATTTTGGGAGAAATATACATCTACTAGATTTACACGTCTGTTTGCACTTGGAGAAAACAAAAAGGGGACTTGGCGTTGTCCCCGTTTGCTGATAAAGTTTAACATAAGCGCGCTTTCCATAGACTTTCCCTTCACCCCTCCCCCGCGAGGGTCCCTAGACTTGCTTACTTTGCTTAACTTTCCATTGTTGAGCTGAGAAGTTGGATTTGTTCATTTGTTTTTATGAATGGAGTTTTGTGATAAAAAGCATTTACTTCCATTTAACCGGTGGATTTTACTAAATTTTCCAAGGTTGGCTATAGGTAAATCCGTAGATTCTTATTTTGTCACACATTCCCTATATTCTGTCTTCCAGTGCTGTTTCTGAAATGTTTTGATAAAAATTGACCATATATATTAGAAAGTTATTAATCACCGTACAGTACTGATCCCCCAAAGCAGCATTTATAATGTTAAAAGTTTAAAAATAACCTGAGTTGTCAAACTGCTTAATTCCACTTTTGGACTTTCATGGGGTTTTAATTAACGTATCACAGAATATGGCAAAAACTCACCAGATAATTGTCAATCTCTCCAAGCCCTTAATACACTATTTGGGCAGGTTATATGCAAAAATGTTTCAGATTTTTAAATTACTTCAAGAAAAATATGATTTGGAAAAGTAGCATGCTCTTCAGCTGACCTAACTATAATAATAGAGGGAACAGAGTATGAATTTCAATAATAATCATTTGAAAAGATGCTTAGCAGAAAACTGGAAATGGACATGTCAACTTTCACTGTTAGGCAGCTGTTTTCTGAGAATTTCTAATTACTAGATTTAGCATGAGCCAGTGTCTCTTTACCCTAAACCCCATTCTCGCCCCCTCCAGCGCCCCACCCCCAGCCTTGGTTCACACACTCTCACACCCCCAAAGCACTTCTCCACCCGATCACTCCCATCCCCCATCTCCAACATCTCCAACACCACACACACACACACACACACACACACACACACACACACACACACACTTGTGCTTTCAGGACATCGAAACAGAGGATATTTCCCTAGGGAAAGAAATCCTGCCTGGCGAGATCTCCCCATTGGTTGTTTACCGGAGAAATCTACATGTTTAAGGGGGATGGTGTATCCATAATCAGCCTGTCCCTATAGGACTTGGGTCTTGGCGACCTTTTTGTGACCTCTCCCGCCAGAGGAGGCTGCTGTCACTTTAAAAATTTACTGAAAGAGGAGCCCGTCTGGCTTCCGATCACTCTGGGCGGCGGGAGATAGCTCCCTTTCTCCCTCGCCCCGGGTTCTTTCTGGATGGCCGAGCAGATCCTCTTTAAAGAGACAGTTCATGAAATAGAAACCCGGCGGCTGCGCTTGGAGCTGCGAAAGGGGACGATCCCGTGAGGGTCTAGGACTGGGGAAGGCGCTGCGGAGGATCTAAAAGGGGGCTAGAGCTCCCCTCGCCTCCCCAGGCCCCCCACCTTTTCAAACTCTCCTCCTCCTCCTGCCTGTTCCCCCCCCCCCCTTGGAACTGGGAGAGAGAAGTGGAAGAAGTTTTAGTGGGTTTCAGATAACTTTCATTACACATCGGGCTGATAAGAGCAAGAGAAAGTGAGAAAAGAGGGAGGTGATGTGAACCAGAAGGAATAGCTCCGAGCTCATTTAGGAAGGGGGAAAAAAAAAAAGCCAAAACACACCAAACCCGGGTCACCCAGACGAGAGGAGACTTCATTTCTGGTCTTAAAAATACACTGTTGGCGGACAATAAATCTGAAACGCGTGGTCCTGGCGAGCAGATCCTAGAGACGGACAAAGTTATCAGAGACCTATTCGGAAATCGAGACGCGAGGCTTTCTTTTTTCTTTTTCTTTCCTTTTTTTTTTTTTCTTTTTTTAACATCCCGAGATGTGGTTCGGGATCGTTTGAAAGGATTTTCGTGCAGGAAAGCTGGGGGCAGCTGATTATTTTGTTTTGTTTGTTTTAATTCTTCTGTGATTGCCTTTTATTGCTGAGTTGAGGCCATAGAAATCTTAAGGTAAGAGAACTCACTTTAAAAAAAAAAAAGTCTTGGCGATGTGCATAGTTTGTAACTTCGGACAGTTTCCTGCCTTGGCACCCCTTCTCCGGGGCGCCCCCCGCCCCACCCAGCCTTCTTTTCCTACTTGCCCGCAGTCTTGCGGAGCCCTGCTGCTTATCTACGTTGCTGGGACTGGCGATTTCCTTGTTCCTCCTGTGGAACGGTGCGGTCTGGACGCGTCTCCGGGGTGGGTCGTCCGGCCTTCGGTGGGTCTCTCTGCCGGCTGTCGGCCTTTTTTTCTCCCGCTCTTCTCCTACTTCCCCTCCCTCCGTGTGTCTGTCCGTCGGTATCAGGGACGCAGAAGGTGGGGTTGCCAAAATCTGAATTCCTGGCACCGGCCACGCGACTTTGGAGCCGCTTTCGGCCGAGTTCCACCTTGCCAAGTAACAGCTTTGCTGTCCAACATCGTGTGCTGCTTCTCGAGAAAGTCACATTCGGACCCTTTGGCTAGATTGTGGGGATTTTTTTTTTCTCTCCTTTTGCTGTTGGTTTTTTGAAAGGGCCTTTCTCTAGAGTCCACCTAAAGGGAATTCTTTTTTTTTTTTTTTTTAAGCTATCTTTGGAACTTGACAGCTTTTAAAAACACAGGAGTGTGTTAGATGAAATGACGGAAGATGTGTTCTTACTTTATTTTACTCGAGATTTCCGAGACGATTAAGACATTTGGGAGACAAATGCAGTTCTGCTAGCAAATCAAAAGTGAATAATTCACCCAGGGGGGAAACGTTTCTAGAGAAAGTTCAGCTTTTGTCTTGGGGCAAGAATATTGAGAGTAAGAAAGTTAATATGTTGGTGAAGTATTTGAATAATCATGTAACATATATGTAAAAAGACATTCTTTGGAAATGAACCTGTTTTTAAATTAATTTCACTGTTGACAGTGGCAATGGCAATAATGTTAACACGGAATAAAATTACACCTAGAATTTTATGTGCAGTATATGCAGTACTTAACTCCCTGCCCCCGCAAAAGGGAATGCTCGAAAGCTAAGGGGATAGATGATGCTTGACTTTGAAATTAACAAGTTTTCCAGGTCTTTCTGCAAATATGAAATGGAACTGGTGTTGCATTTCACTGACTTCACCCTATTTCCTTCATTAAATATTTCTCTAGTGTGTCAGTAGAAGTGCCCTTTTTTTTTTTGCTAGTCAAGAAAACAAATAACAAAAGATCAACCAGAAACCAAACAAGCCAAAAAACAAACAAAACAAAAATATCAACTTTTTACTATTTTAAAATGTGTATTGCTATTGTTATTTATGCTCCCTGTGGACTTCTTGGGGGGGGATCGCAAGTTGCTATTAGAGTCACTCAGCATTGAGAATTGAAGAAAACAACTTAAAGTTTGTAATTTTAAAAATAAATTTTAATATCTGTCTTTCTCACTAGAGAGGGTATTTAACGTGGACTTTCTGTTGTTAGTGTGAAGAGGGGTCTTGAAAAAGACTTGATTTGTGTGTGTGTGTGTGTGTGTGTGTAGCAATTATTATCCCTATCTTCTGTTTTGATTTTACTTTTTTAAATTGTGGGACTACTTATTGCCCTTTAATTGCCTCATGGCCAAAGGCTTATTCATAATGCCTCTTGACTAGAGCCCTCAGAGCACTGGGCTTCTTCTTGAAGTTTGTGGGTGAGTTAATGAGTTGAATCTGCAACTAGGTGATTACCTGAATTCTATGCAAAATTGCTTTTGGTCTATATACCCAAGAGTTTAGTTTTCACTTTTACATAGGTGTAGATACAGCAGGGTTCTGTGGGAGTTACTTAATTCATTATTTTTTGTTCTGGACTGTCTTATTTAGTCTGTGATAGGAAACTTCCTCAAGTTTGCATTAACTGATTGACATTAACATTGCCAGCCTTTCTAGTTATTCGCCATTAGGTCAACAGTTCTGCAGTTTTTAGTATTGATGTTTAAAACATTGCTGCTAGTGAATCAGAATAGCTTTGTGTAAGTATGCAAAACCTTAAAAATGGACATTTCCCATTTCAATTTTTGTTTAAGGTGTCCTAAGTAATGATTAATATTCAGGATAGGCCAAATGTAAAATCTCATGAAAAATAACAATACACAACCATAGATAATGATGGCAATTTATTACAATATTATTATATATTTTTTACTTGTTCACAAGCCAGTTCTGATCTTTTGCTTACTAAACATAAAACTGAAACATGCATTGGCATGTGTTAGCTAAAACATTAGGTTGCCATATTTTGCATGAGTGTTTACCAATCATTTGTTTTCATTTCTTTTTCTTACGTTTGGTCAGAAACATTTATGAGACAAATCTTACTATCTTCTTCCACTAAGGGTGTGATTTAATTGTTTCATGGTAGTGAAATGCAAAGTGAAAAGGAATTTAGTAAAAAAACTTTATTCAAAGTTTTTTAATTGAATTAAAGGGCAAAAATGTGAAAGTATACACTTACATGGGAAGACTATTTGAACCTAAAACATTGACTATTTAGTTTAGAAATATTAGGTTAATATATGCTGTTCAATATTATTTTTTGTAAAAATCACATGGAATAAAATTAAGTCAAGAGCACTCATTCATGTATAACAAGGAAACAAGCATTTTTTTTTAAATCAATTGACCGGTTTTTGCAATAATGTACAATGGCTTTGTTCTTCTAAAAAATAGTACATTGCCGCTTCTAAGGTAACTTATTATTATTCCTCCTTTATTAATATGCACGCAGCCTGACTTTTTTAAAAAAAGGATTTAAAGAAGGACTATACACTTGAATAAAATATTTTCAAGTAATTAACCATTCTAATGAATGAACTGATATGGAAATTGATTGTTCTCATCTTCTTCCTTCCAGATCTTAGATGAGTTTTGCAATGTGAAGTTCTGCATAGATGCTAGTCAACCAGATGTAGGAAGCTGGCTCAAGTACATCAGGTTCGCTGGCTGTTATGATCAGCACAACCTCGTTGCATGCCAGATAAATGATCAGGTATGTTGTAAAGATTTTTTTGTCTTTCTTTGAGAGCACTAAAGTATCAGTGAAGCCTGAAGAATAAAAATAACAGTGAGCTGCAGTAGACCCTTGTGGCCTGTTTGTTGATATGGTGAAAGGTAATGCACAAATATAAGTAAGATGCACAATAAAGTTATTTGCAGTATTACTTTCTTTCAGTGCTACTTTTTTGGGTAGTTTACTCACTTTGTAACTTCACAAATGCTCTAGTTTTCTGAGTGTGATTGAATGTTCTAAAAACAGTCCTATTTATTGCTAGTTGTTCTTTACCTTTTTTTCTTTACCATCATAATAGGGAAACATTCATAGAAAGTATTCAGCTACTCAATAACACTTTATGAATTTGTGCAGAAATTGGAAGTGATACACTTGAAATATTACATAGATTTTACTTGAAATAGGTAGATACACACACACACACACACATATGATCTACATGCGGTCTTATCTGACTGTGCATTTTATTTTGATTTGCCTGTTTATAAATGAGAAAAACTTTTAGATTAATCAAAATACTCCCTTTTTTTTGTATATGTGAAAAGTTTAAAAATATCACTGCTGGAAATTGCTTTATGGAGGCCCATGCGGTGAGGTTAACTTTAATAACAATAACTATGAAATAAGATCATGAAAATATCATGAAGCATATTTTGCACTCAATAAAGTTAGGTTATGAATCTTGTAACTTAGTATGACAATACCTGAAACAACAAAAGGGTTAGCCTGTTAATTTTTGTTTTATAAACACTTTTGGGTTAGAATTTAATTATGTTATCCATCACTTATTTCTTTTAATCCAATGGTTACCTAAATCAAATATGTCTCAAAGACCATATTAAAATGGTTGTTTGACAAATTTACTGTGAAAATCACCACCAAGAAAAAGAAAAGTTTAAATTAGATGTTTCCAATTGAAAGCTGTTCAGTAATGTTAGCATCATATGGCCTAAGACTCTATTTCAGTCATCATTATGAGGTTATTCTTTGGCATTTTACCAGCTACCAGATAATTTTTACTGACTAAACTGTGTAAGAGGTAGTAAATTGTAAAATTAGGTTTAAATAGGTATCATTTAAAAATCTTCAACATATATCAAAATTAATAAACCAATCAATTATTTTTTCCCTTTGCTGTAAGAAAACAAGAGGCATTATTGACAAAGGAAAACATTATTAAATTAGCTATTGATTGGGAGCAGAATATATTCCAAGTCCATCATTTGAGTTACTGTCACATCAACAACAAACACTTTTTGAGCATACACTATTTGTAGATGTGGGAAATACATAGGTGTTGTAAGTGAATGAATTTTTCAGGTTATCGTTCCTAAAATAAAGGAGCTGACAGACCTCCAAAGGCAGTTGTAAGATGAAATAATGTAATTATATCATAATAATTATTTGCTCTCCGTATTTACTGACAATAGGGGCTGTCTCCTTGGACAGATAGAACTGTTGTAGGGTCAGTGAAAGGATGGTGTAAGAATGGGACTTGGGGCCAATACATTTTTTCATTTAATATTTATGTTTCTCATATTTTATAATAAATATACTCTTCTCATTGGGAATCTTGATTGCATTAAAAAAGCAAAACTATTTTGCTATTGCTAACTATGAATTAGATTGCTTCTTAGGGCAAGCATTTATAATTTTAACACAGTTACTTTTGAGGCACACATTGTAAAATATATTGCTTTCAGAAGAAAATATGCTGGTTTCATACCATACTGAACAGCATGTTTACTTATTTTAATTGAAGAATGAAGGAAAATAGTTAACCAGGAAAAACATAAAAGGCCAATATTAGACACATACCTATTATTTCTGTAAGCACTCATTTTAAATTTATGTATTTTGCTGGCAGAAATCTAAGATGGTAACAGAGTACGTATCAAATAACATAATTGTGAAATTGGGACATTACATGGTCAAGTAAGTTCACCCATAAACAACGAGAGAGGAAAGTCAGAGGTAAAAGTCAGATTTGTGTGATAGACAATATATGCATACAATCATACTTAGCCCAGTTGACAAGACAAAAGAGAACAGATACCCAAATAACGTATGCATATTTTATAAACATATTCGTCCATAAGCTTGTATGCATAGTTCTGAAAGTTAATTAAGACTCCGATTTCAGACAGCTTTGAAATGTGAATGTTGGACTAGGTACAATGATAAAAGAGCTGACTGCAGAGATTCTCTAGGTCTATTTTTTTGCTCTCTTTTCCATGAGTAATAAAGAGCTGCCAAATGGTGAATAAGTACAACTCATCACATAATGAACACTCTCATTGTGTGAGATATTATTTGATGTCCATAAAGACAGACCCTGGACCAGGAGTAATTATTAAACACGAACAACCATCAACTCACCTGCACAACACAATAGCAGATGAAGCACTCTCAAAAAATTATAAAAAAGTGTTTCTCTTTCCTCTCTTAGATAGAGCTCAAGTTTACAAAAAGAATTTTAATAACAAGACAGGTTTAAGTCCTGGGCTACAGAAAGGAAGAATGTCAGATGAATCTTTCAACTGTAGTCTAGTCATTATAATAATTATGATGTCTAATAAAGAAGGGAAAAGATGGCCCAGAACAAAACAAGGGTGTATAAATTATAGTTTATTTTTGCAAAGATGATATTTTTAGAAATTCTGATGTTAAAGATCAGTAGATCAGTTTTATAATGATGTGGAAGAGTTCTATAAGAGAGAATAAATGTTCTTGCTAAGATGATAATACAGGTTGGTAATAGTGAGACAGTCAAAACATGTGTACTGGATAAACCCATATTTGATTTGTTTGGGGGTGACAAGTACTTAGGAACAGCATGGATTTTGATTTTCAAGTAAAGTTGAAAAAGGATGTAATCTGGTTTGTCTCATAAACAAAGGCCATGCGATTAACATTTTCCTAATACCTCTGTACAAGCATTTTATTTGAAGGGATTTTCCTGAGTTTAAATTTTCCAGTAGATATCTGTGAGTTATTTTATTTTGGGTTCCCCGCCCCCCCCCCAGGCCAGAGTGAGCTTTGTGGCAGTTTTCTTTCTTAATGCTTCCTAGAAAGACCCAAGCTTAGTTTTTTTAGATGTCTCTTCATGTTTTCAAAAATATTGCAGTGATGTTTTTGGAGATAGGAGTTCTGAAAACACTGGAGTGAACGCTTAAATCATAATTTCTAAGTAGCTGCAGCTCCTGGCTGCTATCCTTTACCATCCCCTGGAAAATATTGTATTAACTATAGTAATTTATCTTTGTAGAAGAAGGCCACACCAAAGACACTAGTAAATTAAGCTCCAATCACATTCAAGTCATAAAATAGAAGACCTATAATAATATCCAAGGTTCTTTATCCTTGAAGTCCTGATTATTTTCCCCATATTCCTTAAAGTTTCTGTACAATATTACATAGCCACACTGCTATGGCATAGCATTTAGCTGGAAACTTTTACTGAGACAGACAATGCTTCAATATTTTTACATTTTAACCGTCTGAAATTGTCCCCAGTGGCTTTCAGGATCAAGAGCTGGCACTGAGAGGCAGAGCGGGGCAGGAGCAAAAGCAGAGAGCTGGATGATGAAAGTTCTTTCCAGAGTAGGTCCTCAGGAGGAGCAAATATGCAGGGGAAGCATGAAAATAGTTAATTATTTTGAGTTGCATTTACATCTGGAAACACCCATGTGTTGAATGTTAAGGAGGCACACATCTAGATGATTTGTTGAGGTTTTCTTTTTTGCTTTCTTTCTTTTTTATTCTGGGTATTTTTGATGTCCTTAATCCTTTGATGTCTTGTTAGATACCTTTACAAACCATTCTGCTGGGTGGATGTAGCACATTGCTTTAGCTTTGGCCTCACCCTGCTCTTACCTTTCCCTCCATTCTTTGATAAGTCCCCTCGTATCTCCGTATTTCTATACCTTCACCTTGAACAAAGGCAAGGTGACCCATAGACCCCGCATCTACTTCAGTCAAGGCCAGTTCTCATCTATGATGTGTTTGCAAATTTGGGGTACTTATGCAATAGCTAGCTCTTTGAACACAGTTTTTCCCCTAATACTTCTTCATGGTGAAACCATATTGGTTGTAATCAGGTCACTAAGGCACAATTCATGTAAGTTGACTTTACAGGCTTAAGACCTGTCCTTCCGCTCCCGATAATTAGAATGATTTGGGCGTGTGCTTTGGGGTAACATTTTATATGTATGTATTCTACATCCTGGAAAGGAACACAGTTTCATTCAAACTCCTGGCCTTGCCCTTAGCATGGTCTATAACTGGAATAAAGTTCTCAGAAACCCAAGACATTATTAATCTTGTCATTTACACAAGGTGATAAGTCCTTTCATTTTTTAAACAGGCCCTTGACAGCTGGTATTTAGTAAGTAGAATAAGAGAAGTCTGCTGTTCCCTTTGAATGAAAAGAAATGTGTCAATAAGAGATTATCCAATGCCTGATGTATATTTTGAAGAAATAAGATATAGAAGCACGAGCAAAATCAAGGTCAGAATTCACTTAGGGGATTCTGCCAGCTCTCTTGTGGTTAATGAACGGCAGCAAGATTCTACAGTGTTTTCAGTTGGAACAGGCATTGTTCTCGTTTGTGCTGTACCTTATAAAGTTTTAACTGCTTCCAGGACGATGGCTGAATTTGGCACACCCACTTTCCCTCTCCTTAGGTCCACGTCAGTGGGTCTATCAGACGGCTGAGACACTAGAGCAGTATTATTACTGCAAGCTTATTATGAACTCAATTATCAAGTTATTTTCTTTGGCTTTTTACGGAGAAAAAAAAATGTTTTCCTGAATTATTCAATTAATGCAATTTGTGCAAAAAAGCAGGGAAGACCAGCGATGTAAAAAGCAAAATGTAATTTGTTCGCTTCTTTCCACTTTTTAAAAATGTTTGCGTCAGCTGTCAGGTAACTTGTTAATTTGCTCTTCCTTTACAAGGATTTCTGTCCACATTTTC